TCTGCCAATGGCCTGAATGTCTGTTTTCCCTAAATTCAGAGGTTGAAGCCCTAACTCCCAATGTGATGGTGTTGTAGGTGGGGCCTTTGGAGGGACAGAAGGGTTAAATGAGATCATGAGGGTGAGACTTCACAATAGGGTTAGTGCCCTCACAACAGGAGGAAAAGACAGAGAGCTTGTGTTCTGTCTCTACCTCGTGAGCACACAGAGAGAAGCAGGCCATCTGCAAGCTAGGAGAAGAATTCACTGGACACCACCATTCATGGGCACTTTGACGCTGGACTTCCCAGCCTCCAGGACTGAGTCTGAGAAATAAAAGTCTGTTAAAGCCCAGGCTGAGATCGTGCCCAATGACTGACTCACTGTTACCCATTTCTACTCCATACATGTGGTCACAGGTACCACCTCCTATTTTATTGCTTGCTCTGCACAGACCATGAAAACAAACATCTAAGGCCTAATGTTAACCCAGGCCATGCCTTCGCACCTCTGGGGAAAAACTAATTATGATTTTTGCATAGGTATCACTCATCAAAATGAAGCAATTTTTTTTTAGCTTCCCTACATCAAAAAAAATTTTTTTAATTGGTTTGCAGGAAAATTGCTATATTAAACCAAGACTTTAGCTTTTGTTAAACATTAAAAAAATTTTTTTTTAGTGCTGGGGATCAAACCCAGAGCCCTGTGCATGCTAGGTAAGTGCTCTGCCGTGGAGCTACAGCCCAGCCCAACATTCAAATATTCACTGAACACCTACCAAGTCTCCAGCACATTCAACCCAGGGCCTCTTGGCCTTTTGGGTGTACGGGAATCACCTGGGGACCTTGTTAGGTTGTAGATTCTAATCCAGCAGGTGATGAGTGTGCACTCAAGGCCCAGCACTCCTAGCAGGCGACCACACTGACACACTGAGCAGCGGGGCTCTAGCCCAGTAAATACTAACTCTGGCTTCCCTTTGGGATTGTCTAGAGAGCCACTAGAAAGTACGGATACCCAGGGGCATCCTAAACCCATTAGGTCAGACCCTCTGGGGCTAGGGGTTGGGCATTGAAAAACTTATCTATAAAGCTCTTGATCCATTTGCATGTGTGGCCAGGACTCTTCTAGGCACAGAGCAGGTAGCTCTCAAGGGCTGGCAGAACAAAGTTATTTTAGACAGTGGTACTGGTCATCGTGGGGGGTGGGGGTGGGGACTGGGCCAGGGGTGGATGACAGGGCACTTAAGCTGAAACACAAACGATGAGATCAAAACACCACCACTGAGGTCTGAGAAAGGACCCTGGCAGATCAAAGAGCCTGAGTTCCACATGGAGTTTCCTGGGGAGACCAGGACCATATTCATGCTTTGAGGAAATGAAGTTACTCCTCTCTCAAGCCAAGAAGAACTTCCAGGAGGCACAGGGAATGAGACCAGCCCCTACCCCAGAGGTTCTTAGGAAGATATGTGCTAACATTTGCCAGACACTACCTGGGGCTGAGGCATGGACACAGTCAGACTCTCAAAGCTCTCACTTCCTGTGTCCCTAAGGAACGTATGTGGAAGAGCAGCATGAGGAGCCTCCAGCCGTTGGAGATGGTTGTAAAATAGGAGCCTCCAGAGACTGGGAGAGCCTCCAGCAGCTGGGTAGAAGGGATGCCACTCTTGTCTTAGCCCTGAAACTTGGAGCCCTGGCCCACCTTTACCATAGCAGCAACCCCAGAATGGGAGTCTCAGTGAACAGTTACAAAGAACTGAGTACCTGCACCCCAGCTGCCCAGAAACCCATTCCTTGGTGGAATTCTGGAGCAGGGGTAGGTGGCTTCATCTTCTCTCCAGAGGTGGACCCTGCGACCCAAGTCTAAGCCAGCCCAGCACTCCTCTGGCCCAAGCAATTGGCCTAGAGTGCTCATGTGGACCAAGACAACCCAACCCATCAGAACCCTGCAGAAGCAGCTCAGCCCTGGGTATGCTCTCTTTCCCAGCATTTCTGAGTCTGGGAGGACTTAAGATTGGACCTTGGATGGACCTAATCTTCCCACATTGGAACAATTCAAGTTCAACAACAGAGAAAAACTGAGTACTGGACACCACTGTCTTAACTTTTGATCCCACACTTCCAGTTATTACGCCAGTAATTTCTTTTTTTCCACTAACCTCAGTTGGAGGAGGCTTCTGTTACTGCGATAGAGGCTGCCTCCTCCACTCCCACTACAGCAGACCAGAACTGTGTTGGGCCATTCCCCTCCTCCAGGCACCGCAAGTGCCTCCTGCAAGGCTGCTGAGTGGGAGCTGGCAGTTCATCATCATCACCTGGGAGATCTTGTCTGCTCCATTCTGTTGCTAGCTCCTCGACGACAGGGGCTGCATTTGGCAGCTGCTCACATTTCCCAATCCATCCTGCTCATGGGCTGGACACACAGCACAGGGGCCTGCTCTGGTGTGGAATGCAAAGTGGGTGGAGAGTCTCACCTGCCAGGGATGAGGAGGCCGGAAGGGAAGGAAGGAGACCGGGGGCTGGTGTGGGGAGTAGGGAGGGCATGACAGGTAACTGAGGAGGCTCCTCCTGGCCAAGAGATCTCGGGAAGCACTAAACTTCTGAGCTTTGTGTCCCTGCCTTTGGAAAAACACAGTAGAACTGAAGTATGTGATATAGCAACATGCACTTTCCTTCTCATTTGACCCGTATTTACTGAGCCCTTTCTATGTGCCCGGCTCTATTCCAGAAACAGCCAACACAAAGCATAATGCAAATGTTAATCATTGCTAAAGACATTGCCAATTTCCCTTCATTTCTCTCTCCATAACAGGGACAAGGTCAGGCCTTCCTGCCTGCTTTAGACGTGTGTCAAACACTTTTTGATCAGACAGGACCCTGGAGATATAGAGGCCATGATGGAGCACAGGAGAACTGTAGCATTAGAAACGCTGTACCAGTTTCGGACAACATGCTCAGGCTCATGGGGCAGAAGTTACCCAGGGAACAGCAGAGGGCATGGCCAGCCCAAGATGACAGCACCAGTGAACCAGAACAGGGCCAAAACTCCCCTAACCGATCCCTTCCCCAGAGCAGTGATGTCTTATTTACCATGACAAGGTCAGGGCAGCCTGTACATTCACCTCCCTGGAGAGGAAAGATCTGCTGGGCCAGGTTAAGGACAGCAAGGGCTCTACCACTTGTGGGGTCACCAGCATGGATGGAGCCACTCAGGAGCAGACGTCCAAGTTCACAGGGAATCCCAGCATGCGATTCCTACAGTGGTGGTGCTACTCCTCTACATCTCAAATGTCTTTCTTAGAAGGCCTCTGGGGAGGGAGGTTGATGGTACAGGAAACTATCTGACAGCTCTGAGGGATGACCTTGGCCTTCATAAGCTCAAGGAACCAAAGAGATATCTGGTTCCAAAGCCAGCTTCACCACTTTTGTGGCTTTGAGCAATCTGTGTCTCCCTCCCCAGACCTTTCCTACCCTGTAAAATGGGCATACTTGGTTCACAGAGGGTGACAATAAAACACATGAAGACTGCCATCAAGACCTGCTCCCTTAGCCCACAGTTCCATCTTTACACACAAGCCCACAGAGCCTTACCAGGCTCTTCTGATGCCTGAGCCAGCACGTGCTCTTCCACCCATTTCACAGGAGACAAAGCAGAGAGCCTAGAAAATTATGGGATTGGCCAACAACTTGGCAAAAAAGCTGTCTATAATAAAACCTCATCATTCCCTCCACACTTCTGAATACATCTTCCCACTGGATCCTCCTCATAAAGACCCCAAGTGCTGGAGCCAGACTTAATTCGTAGAAGAGCTTTTGGGGGCCTGCCTGCTGAAACTCTCTCCTCCTGAGAAGAGAACCTTAACCTTCTTCATTTATTTAAGCGAAGCCTGCTTATGGCAGGGGAACAGACAAGGCATCATCATGTGTTGGGAGCAATGCTACATAATTCTAGGGAAAAACCATTTGATTAGGCCTAATTCTTCCACCTACAGGCCAGCTATGGCATTCCAAGACATAATTCCATTTTGGTCTCGGGTCACAACTGAGATCTCAATGATCCCCTGATGTTGTGATGCTCCAGGACAAGACCACACCAAATCTTCATCGGTGTAGTTCCTGGGAGGAACCAAATCTTCATCTGCATAGTTCCTCATTGGTCTTAGATTTCCACCACCACCCAGCCTTTCGTTACACCTTGTTTATCTCAATGTGAAGTACTGAAATCTACATATTCATTTGTTACATTTGTTTCTCCCGATGTACAGGGGCAGTAAGCTGGGGTCTTTGCTGCCCAGAGCAGCACTGATCAGACCCAAAGCTCAGCTTCTTCTCAGTCTCATTTTTCTACCTTTCCTGTAATTCCTCGTGTGCTGCTGTGGCTCGCAGGAGACTAGGACTCACTGCAGAGGTTCTGGTAATGTCCCTTTCCCCTGTTCCCTACAATCATGGGTCCCGCCCGACAACCAGTGACTGCTAAAAGACTTTTGAAGAGGAACAGGGCAGACGCCATCTCCTGGGCAGCATGGCACCTCAGGGACTATGGTTCCGGAGGAAGGTCACACATCCCACAGTGTCCCCCAATAGCTGGTCCAATGTGCTCTGACCCTGGAGGGTCCTCCCAAAGTGCCATCTGCCAGAGCAGCTGAATCTGCTGCCCCTAGAGCTCCCCCAAATGTGTATAGTGAGCAAAGGGGGAAGAAAACAAAGACACTGGCAAACCAACAAAATCAAGAGAGCAGGGGAAACACAGTCTTTAGGAGCGTGGTGAGAACAAAAGACAAAAATTGTCAACTCTTGAATGTGACCTTAGTTGTTGGGTAAAGAAAGCACTTGTGTTGCTTAGCAGCCTGGCTGATGAATGTCTACAGTTGCCTCTCAACGCCATAGGACTGACTACCCTTTCTCACTGTTTCCTAAAACCTAACTTCCCTCCGGCTGGAGCTGTCCATATAAGCACCATCTCCAGGCCAGGCCAAAGAATGTGGAAGTAAGGGGATGGGCTGGGGAGAAGAATCTACTTCTTACCAGGATCCGTGCAGTTCTTAGCCGTATGAGTCCCATTCACTGGTGCCATCAACTTTCTATTTCTCCAGATGTCTTGTAGAGTATGTCTGCTGGAAGAAACTGTTTTGTGCCCTGGATCAGAAAATAAGTCAGAGACACCATTAGTCAATGTGATACCTGCATACTCAATGACCTCTCCTATGTATGTGTATCTAGCTGTGTCAGCAACAGCTCTCTTTGGCTGTTTAGAGCCACCTGTAGGGAAGCCATACAGTGATTCCTGCTTACTCACAGCAGTCTGGACCTTGGATCTAATTCTTGTTTCTAGTCCCAGATGGGTCAGTATATAATCCGACCTTGGATAAGACTGAGCTGGTCTCAGGCCTCACAGGTGCCACACAGGGTTTAATTAGGTGACCACTAAGCTCTCTTTCAGTAAACATGCTCAAGTGGCCCAGCCTTGGAGGAACCACAAGCATACGGTAAGTTAGCAATGGCCCAGGGCTTCTCCCACCTGAATGGACACATGGAACACCAGGGGATCTTGGTCAAATGCAGATTCTGATCCAGCAGATCTAGGGTGGGACTTGGATTCTATGCTAACAAGCTCTTGGGGCTGCTGATGCTGCTGACCCAAGGGCCGAAAGGCGCGACATGGGAGGTGAGGATGTGAGGATGTCCGTCACCAAAGGCAGTCAAACTCCTGAAGGGAATTCCTGACCCAGCAAATAAAGATGACCCTCACTCTAGACCTCCGCAGTATTCATTTCCCTCTCCCGGTGTGCGTGCACTTTCAGGAGCGTACTTCTTTTAGAATGCTGATACCTAGGAACCTCTAGGCATTTTGTTATTTGTGGTGTGGAACTGAAGAAAAACAATTTGCCCAATTGCAAAGCAGCAGATATTAAGGTGTTCAAAACAAACTTTCTGGCTTTCTTTTGAAAGAGAAATTTTAATCCTCTATCCTCACATCACAAAGTCTGGACTTTGAAAGGCAGTATTTTTTAAAAAGTTTCATCAATTTCCACCTGATTTTTACATATGGTTGTAAATGTCTCTAAATAGTCCATAGATGCCAAGAGCCTATCTGCTCAAGACAGTACCTTCTGCTGTTCCTCCGTGGCTCAGTTGCTAAATGACTAGCATTTGTTTTGTCTTTTACATTTAAAAAATAAATAAAAGATTCGTAGCATCTAATTCAGTGAGAGTATGGGGCAATGAACGTTACTTGTAGGCTCAACTCCCCCCACCCCCAAACAGACATTTGGGTAAGTTTCTTCTCTTTCCCATGCCCGCTGAAAGGAGAGTACCCTAGGGGACTCCAAGACCTTGTCTCCTCTTGGAGGAGACAGCATGGACGGTCGGTCAGCGCAAATCAGTCCTCCCGTTCCGTGGGGATTAAGAGGAGTTGAGGGAAGCGATGCTGAAACATGGCAGCAATCTCCCGCGGGTACAGACTGCCCGGTCCATTTAGGGTTTGGGGGGATCCATCAGAAAACCCAACACATCCCTGTGGACCGGGGCAGGGAAGGGAACGGGGAGAACCGAGACCCAGGGCCAGTTCCTACCCTCGGAGTCCGGATCTTCCAGGTACTCAAAGCACAGCCCTTGGGGCTCTACAGAACCAGAAAGCGAACCACTCAGTCTCACCTACCCAGAGCAAGAGAACCCCCGCCCCGAGTCTTGCCCTCCAGGGACACAGGCTGTGCTGGCTCGCGTCTCAGTAACCCACACCTACAGCCGCGTCCTGAGCCCCCGGGGATCGCGCGCAGCCCTCGGAACCAGCGCCGCAGCTCAGTGTCCATCAGCCCTCGGGGTGCGCCCTACTTACCGGCAGAGAGGGGACTGGAGAGCCCTGGGGACCCACCTGACGAGGACCGGGTGGGAGCTGTCCCACGGCTTCCCAGCTCAGGCCCCCCAACACCCGGGGCGGAGGGGGCCGGTACCAGCACCTACCCAAGCTGCCCAAGAGGCCGGACGCACAGCACACCAGGGCCAGCACCGCGCACATGAAGCCAACTTGCTGCGGCAGCATCTCTCTCCGCCCGCGAACTTTGTGCCGCCGCCGAGGAGTCCCGCAGAGCGCCATCTCGGCGCCCGAGTGCCGTCCCTGCGAGAGGATGCGGAGCTTCAGGGCTCGGAGCGCTGCCTGTGCCCAGCGGCGCTGGAGCTGGAGCGGGAGCTGCGCAGCTCAGAGGCGTGAGATTCCGGGCCAAAGCTTCATGGCCCGTGAGAAAGGCCGGCGAGGAGCGAGGTCTCCAGCAGAGATGGGGGGCGGAGGCGCCCCGCGCGGTCGGAGCTCAGGGTCCCGCGCGTGGCGTGCGCGCCGCGCGCACCATGACTCCGCGGAGAGGAGGCGACGCCGGCACGGTGGCGCTGGCGGCCCCGGTTTGGAGGCTTGGCGCAGTACGGGCACTAGAGTCGCTACCTGCGCGCTCAACCGAGCCCTGGGGAGCACTCAGTGCGCCCCCGCGCCCCGCGCCGCGGCGCCTACTCGCATCCTCCTCCTCTCCCTCCTCTTCCTCCTCCTTCTCCTTCTCCGCCTCCTCCAAGTTTAGCCACGGCCACTGCTGCCAGCCCACTATGCTCCACCGTTTTCCGCGAGCCGAGCCCTGGCGACCAAGTGCCCGAGGCGCGAAGGGACCTGCAGCCCCTCGCGGCCTCCACGTCGGCCCTCTCAGGGGGCGCGCAGTCCCCAGGAACTTTCTCTCCGACTCTTCCACTGCCGTCGCTGGCGTCTGCGAGGCCGCTGCGCCTCCCGCTAGCTGCTCTCGCCTCCCCACTCCTCCTCCCACGCCCTCCTCTCCCCGCCCTCTCCAGCACGTGCGCTCCTCCCCTAGGGCGCACTCGCCACCGGCGTGCGCCTCCCTTCCCCGCTAGGCATAACTGACCGACGTGCTCAAATCCCCTTCCTTCTCTCTTTTTCTCTCCCTCCTCCCCATGGAGCCTAGTGAGTCCTTTCTTTATCGCCCCAGGCTGCTGCAGAGAAAACAGGTTATGGCACGGGGACCCTCGGAACAGCAGTTTCTACAGAGCAGTAGCTGCTGTCTGGATTCCCCACGACCCCCAGGGCGACCCCAGGGCACCACTACCCCTGGGAGGCAGGAGACGCGTGAGAAAATTAATTGCTCGCGCACAGCTAACAAACAGGCTGCACCAAGCCAACAGGCTCCCGCGCCCGCCGGGATCAGCTTCTGCGAGGCTCCTGGGGCTGGCGAGGACCTGGATGGCGCAGACGGACACGCGACACCGACCTGCGAGACCCCGGCGACGCGACAAGGCGGAGCGAGTTCTGTATCCCTGCCCCCCCCCCCCCCCCAGACCTGAGCTTTTGATATTCCGGAGCCTTCGGGCCCTCGCAAGCCTTTCTGGTTTTGTTTTGTTTTACCTCCGCCTTTCACATGGGCCCTCTGGTGTAAACCGCTTTAAAAATGGGGCAGGAATAAAATTTTCCGAAGAGAACGGAAGGTGTAGTCCAGGTGGAGGGGACTTTTATAGGGAAGAACTCCAGGCCTCACTTCCTCTCCTGGCCAACTCATCACGTGCCCATTTAGAGTTTACTAGGGGTTAAGTCCGCTTATAATCCTTTTTGGAACAAGGCCAAGTCTGTTTAATTAAATAAATACCCACCATGCACGGGCCCTGAGCCAAGTGCCAGCCAGGAAACAAAACAAGAAGAAAATGTTTAAGAGTCTCTGTTTTCAAGGAACCCTAAATCAAATGAGAGCTAGACCCTTAGGTAAATGCTGTAAAGCAGAGGTCTAAAGTCACTGTTTTGCAGAATGTGCAATATTTCCTCACTGCTCATTATGCCACTCTGTGCTTGCAGCAGCCTTGCCTGGGAGCCTGGGAGACATGTGGACTACATTTCCACCTAGACCTCCCGAGCCAGAATGTGCATTTTGAACAAGATCCCCTGGAGATTTGTGTGCACATTCAAGTGTGAGAAAAGTTCCCTGTCTCAATGCCGCTACCACCTGCAGGCTTCCCTCTGGCCTGAATAAGCAGGGATCCCTTTGCTTGTATTTGCGTGGCATAGAGACGCAGGTGAGAGATGCCTAGAGGGCAAGGAGAAGGTTCTCTAATTATTTCCAGCAGCTTCATTTCAAGACCAACAGAGATACTGAAGGTATGAACACAAAACCAATTGCAGTGGGAACCCCTAGAGGAGTGAGCTGCAGCGGTAGGGTTGGCCTCGTATAGCAGAGCCTGGGCTTCTATTTCTGCTTCAAGTTGAGTGAGACCACTCTGCAGTGTGGTGTCCTCTACCAAATATGCCCCTGGCAAGGCACTTTTCTCCACATTTGCTGCTTTCCTTCTCATTAACTGGGTGGTGGCAGATGCAGTCATCAATAACAAATAGAAGACCGTAAAATAGTCCTACATATGTTACTTGCAAAGCTGCTTGGAAAAGGCCCTTGGCATCAAATTTAAGTCAAAGGAGAAAAGTAAAAGTGATAATAATGGGCCGTTGTCCTGTTCACAAGACAGTGTTTGGGTCGGCCTGGTTAAAGCAGTGCCGGTGAAGAAATTGGCATCTTTTTTTCTAGAATTCAATACTTTCCTAAAACTCTGTTTATGAAGCTCACCTAGGACTGGTGAAAATAGATATTTTTTAATCCATAGCAGGTCAAAGGAGTTATCAGGTATTTGTCTTGAAACATTTATCTAGCTCTTTAATGGAACATTTCTTCTCCTCTTTGACATTTTTCACCTGCTTCAGTTAATAGAACCCTTGGAATAATTTCACATGCCCAAATGGATTTCTTTTCTTTGACAGTTTAAAAAGCAATTTGAAATTGTACTTTTTGCTACATTTAAATAGTGCCCATTACCACACTGCCTCCGCTGCAGCTCTAATGACTAACCCTGTGGAAGAGCGAATTGGGTCTTACCTGCCTTTCAGATTCACAGCATTCAGGAGCATTTTTCTAAATGAGCAAGGCTATGGGCACAAATGGGAATTGCATTCCTGAGTAGATCTTGGTACCTAGCCCCAATGCCATTGGACTTGGAGTGTCTCTTTTCAGCCATATGCTTTCTTCTGACTTGACACAGTATGGGACTACATGGCCAATTTTAGCCATTTTGGTAGAATGGCTCAGTCCATGGATATCGGCACAATATTATTTTCTTAAGAATCCTTTTCTATGACATATGAGCCTGACTGTTTAATCAGTGTCTTCCTTGGATTTTTGAAGTTTGCCAGAATGACCTTCTCTGTGACTTTGCATTCTGTCTACTCTGTGAGACAACTGAATCAGTCTGTGCTGGCTAGGCAGTAGTTCTCAAACTTGCACATCCCTGTCTCCTGCGGAAGGTTTCTTAAAACTCAGATCGCTGACTGGCACCCCAGAGCCTCTGCTTTAGTAAACTGGGGCTGAAAACTTGCATTTCTAGCACATTCCATGAAGCTGATACGTCTGGTTTAGGGACCACACTTCAAAAACCAGGGCCAGCTTCTGCTGTAACAACAGGGACGACTGATCTCAAACAACAGAAGTTTGTTTCTGGCCAGTGCTTCTCGTCTGTCAAGCACAGTGTACACTGAGGAGACGCGTGCAAGTACCTGAGAGCAGCCAAGATCAGCCTCAACCAGACGTGTGGAATTGTGACTAAGTGACTTGTCCAAGATCCTTCAGGAAACAGGTCACAAATCTAAGCTTCCGGCCCGAGGTACAGATCCCAGAGTGTCCTCCACCCACTGGCCCTCTGGTCACTTGGTCCTGTCAGTCTGATAGTGGCGACAAGACAGGGAGGGGCTCACAAGGACAAGAGTGGGGCGATTTGACAAGGGACTTGGCTCAGAAGGTGGCTCAGAAGGTCCCTCCGGTTCAGACACTTGATAATATTCTGTGTTGGATTGGCCTCGTCTTGCATAGTGGACTCCATGACATGGTGCAAAAGATGGATTTTCCTCAGTGTTCAGCATAGTGCACTGCTGAAGGCGAGAGCAGTGTGGGTTTTGTTTTTCTGTGACTATGCGCTATTGAGTTTTCACATTTTGTCATTTCTTTCTAGTGGCTCAGGACTCAAAAGCGCTGGCCTCCCTGCAAGTCTGGAAGGGCCTCATCACCTATGTGGAGAGATGACTGCACCAGGAGGAAAATGCCAAGTCATGGAAAGAGAGACGTGTAGAATGGTGGAGATTTTCATCAAAGAGAGGGAGAATCTACCATAAGGGGTGTTACTACTGGTTTATGAGGGGGAACAGATGTATCTTTGTCTCAGGCGCACATCTGCCAGTTCTTCCCCATCAGAAGCCAGCGCCACATGGTCAGCCTCTTTTTGGCCCTCTGCTTTATCAGGCAATGTGTTTTGTCCTGAGTTTTAATGGGAAAGGTTTCACTTTGCCCACTTGGGAGGCAGCATTCCTTCTAATTGTCTCTGTAGGGATGGCTGAGCCTGGGAAGACAGGGGCAGACAAAGCCCTGCAGACTGAAATGATGTATTTTGGACCGGGGCTACTACTGCCTGGGTAATCTGAGTAGTTCCCTGTGGCATGCAGGCAGAAATGCTGCCCCATTGTGCAGAAAGCAGAGACAGTCAGCTCAGGTGGCCAGCTTGGGCAGCCGTCTTCGGGGAGCTTGCCAGATACCAGGCATTTGCTAGACTTATGAGCTCTTGTCCCTGTCTAGAGAACTGACTGTCCTTTGGTCCTTATCCAGATAGCATCAGAAACTTGGAGTTGAACAACCAAATAATTACAACCAGGTTGGCCCTTCTGGGAAGGTCATCCCCCCTCCCACCCCCAGCCCCAGCCATGGGATTTGGTACCTAAGGTGGGGCCTTGCTAACTCTCCCCAAAACTCACTGACTTTACACTTAGGAAGTTTCTCATCCACATAGAGTGCAAACTGTGACAATCAGCAGGTTGCTCATTTCCATCTGGTTGTTGAAAGATTCTAGTTCCCTGCATCTGATGGCTGTACCATCTTCAATATGTGGCTTCCAGGTCACCAAGCTTATCTGTACTGAAACAGCAGAGGAGGAAAGATGTAGAGCCCCCCGGGAATGGTTTTTATGGGTCAGATTTGGATTTGGTGACATTGCTTCCACCTCCATTCATGGGTTGCAACTCAGCCACCTGGCCATGGCTCAAGGAGGCAGGGAA